AAAAAAAGAAGCTTTAGAGATCTGAAAACAAGCACCTTGTACCTCTGAGAAGCTAAAGTTTTGAATGAACTAATCAGTTTATCTTGTTGACCTTCAAAGAAAACCTGAACATGACCATGAAATGTTTTCTCAGTGTGTAAGGAGTGGGTGCTCCTGCCCGCCCGAGCCGCAGATTATTTACACATAAAAAACACACCACATGTTGTGCACAGAGTGACTAATCCTAAAACCTATTCTATTTGCATTCTGCAAGTGCGTATACTTCTGAACATAAAAGGAGGTGAATTAAAGCCAAAATTACTTTAGTCGTCATAGCCCGGTCCCCTTTTRCCCAGTCGAATTAAACACAAATCTCTGGTACATCAGGGTTTAATTAGCAGTAGGCTCTCCTCATACATTTATAGTAACYACCTACGCAAGTCAAAGTCTAGTGCTATTTATTTGCCTTGCGGAAACGACAGCTGCTAATCCCTTAAGAGCTGCAGATGCGACCGCAAGACAACACACTACGTCTAAGTCGCCAATCCTCTCAAGTTTTATACACCTGGCAGCTCCGCAAGCCCCTTTTACCTGGCTGGAACAGGCGTGCAGAGGTGCTTTACTGCTGAGTTTGTCCAGGACAGGTTTATGTGTTCCTTCAGTCCTGACGCAAAAACCAAATATGGCCRGGAGCGAGGTAACAGGTGTGCAACTGATGACGACCGTATCTGAGTATTTCAGTTCGGTGCGACCGAGCTGCCCCCGTCCTCGGCTACTAAAATGCTAATCAGCATTATGTTTGGTCAAATGGGTGATGCAGACATGCACATGACGAGCTGTGTGCTCCGTGGCCCAGCTGGACGGGGAGTAGGAGCGACAACAGGGACATGGGAATATGCAAGCAGGGAGTGAGTGGGTCGTCAAGGCAATCGGCATCCATACTTCAACAGTTGTTTCAGGAGACGTAAAGATGTGATGGTGAACGGCTACTGAACTATCCAAACGAAGCGTACCAGGACATCTGAAGTGTACAGATGAACCAATCAGAGGTTTCCTGTTTGATTCTAATTTCTCTCTAAATCTGAACTCAGTGAGCTGCAACTGTTGGAAGCAAAACTGCAAATACCAACCTTCACTTAAAGACACACTGAACTACACGCTTGCACAAATTCCCAGGAAAATTTCGCCCAAATTTGCATTCAGAGACCAAAAAAAATACTGATTTTCTTGAAAACTAAAAGACATAACAGCTGCCAAAATGCTCAGTATTTCTCTGGTTTACATTCCAATTTTTATGTTTGYTTGGGTGTAATGTAACGAACACAAGGTTTTTGCTAAATTTATGTTAGAAAACAGCAAATATTCTAACTTCTGTTTCAGCACAGCTCATTTCTGTGTAATATTTTGCTTTAACGCTTTCCATCAATCTCCTCCCCCAAAATGCCTATACTTCTGCTGCCTCCTGTCTGCGCACCCTTTTGTTGCCGCTCTGYCTAGTCAGGTGGTCGGAAATTGAGTCGGAATTATTTTACTGACTCAATTTCTGACCAAGACTGTCTGAAGAGTACTTGTCAATGTCAAATGTAAACAAATGACTCATAATTGTTGGCAACAGAATGTGATTCTGCTAATTTCAGTCATTTATTACAAGTTATGAAGCAGACCTCTGGTGGTAACTGAAGCATATTTAGTTTTTTTATTATTATTATTATTATTAAATCATACATGCCGTGGTAGGCACAGCTACCCAACTTGTGATTTTTTAAATGGACCTAAAGTTAGGGTAACCTAATTTAGTAGAAGCTAATCCGTTAGCAGATTTCTAAGTTAGCAAAAAAGCTCATCCACTAAATGAGAAGCTATTGRCGCTATTAGTGGTTAGCGAAACTGTGCCAAGGACTGTATACGTGATATACATACAACTAAACTGAATACTTAAATATCACATATTTTGACAGCTTTTGTTTTAAAAAGACCATGACTTATTTTACATGAACAAACATTGATTTTAATGTTTCCATCCCTAATGAATAGTAGGGGTGTAAATCACCAGCTTTATCACAACACTATAATACATCGATATGTTTGGATGACGATTCGATATTTCTCGATATCACAAAGTCTGTCACAATGCAATTTTGATTCATTTTAAATCACGTCTGCATTCGATATAATGTAATATCACATGCCCATTTAAGACAATGACTGTTAGATGGGCAGATATCGATTCACATTGAGCATATGATGACGATATAGATCGATATTTTCATTTTGCCTCGATATAATTGAGTCATGAACCATTCAAATCAATATATCAATATAGATCAATGTATCGTTACATGAACTCACAAAATAAGATTTAAAAATCTGGGTTTTGAGTGTCTGACTGGCTGGTCTCAAAGAGTTCAAGCTAAAATCAGTCCATTCCAGTCACCAGCCAAACGACTGGTGCATTGCTTTTAAAGTGTTTACTTTCTGGGTGTGTTTCTAATTTGATCCCAGTTTTTGTACGCTCAAATTCTGTCCTCAGGCATATTAAAGACTGGCAGGTTTTTTTGGATTGTAGGAGGAAACCAGACCACTGCAGAGCACACACCCACACAAAAACTAAAAGGACTTCAAAACTTCGCAATGCCTCTGTAATCTCAGAGTCTGCAAGTTAGAAATCAACACACGCTGACTGAGGGTCCTGCTTTGTGCTCCAGATAAACTCCTAGTTTTCAAAACCATCAAATATTTAGACGGCCTAAAATTTCCCCTCAGCTTCTGTTCCAAATCGCTCCATTAATGTGTCATGTTCAATGTGTCAGGGCAGCTGCATGGATACACTCATCTAAATACTCCTTAATCTTCAGCTTGTATCCTCTGGATTATATGCTGCCCATCAATTAAGGCCTTTTTCCATGTTTGGATGTGATCTCATGGGAACTACCATGTGTCTGAGTTTTCTTCCCCTTTCTTCTTATCGTCACCCATGTTTGCAAGTCCTTCTTGCTCTGAGCTGATAACCAGTCGGGATTTTAGGAAACTAAAAATGTAAAACACGCTCCAGTGTCTCGCTTGCTTTGCTCTGTCTTAAATCAATGCACATCGACTCTGTTTTTAGGTTTGAACTTACAAAACGCATGAAATATCACCTTTTCTGTCTCAGATCAATGGTATTGTCTAGATTACGTAATCTGTGAGCAAACAGTCACGGCGTATGTGGAGAAATTTTGAACTGAACTATAAACAGAAAGATGTCTGTGTGGGACAGAAGAGATGTGCAGACATAAAATCAGGTCCAGGAGTAATCACTGAAGAGAACAAAACAAAACCAGCCAGTTTTATTAGGCTTCTATCATAAAAATGATTAACAATAACAAAAACTGATTGTGCATGTAATAGTGTGTATATTTTTGTGTACGGTATATTAGTTCACAAACATATTATGACTAAAACCGTTATTATATAACAGAGCCACCATAGATATTTGTGTGTCAGTAGTTCAAACGCTCCTCCACAGAATCACAACAAAAAGCAGGTACTGTCTGTACAAAACCATCAATCACCTGAAGCGAGCTGACAGTTACACGAGCCTGCTGCCAGCTGCAGTGCGCGCGAGGAGGTGTGGCGTGGCTCCGTGCAGGAACATGTGTCCACTCCTCCGTGAAAGACAACAAAAAGCTGCTCCGAACAGATCCAACAGAACCGGGCCGCTTTAAACCAATACAAAGAGAGAGAAGCGATGTGTTCTCTTCGCTGTGTTGGACTTCAGCAGCGTGCCTTTCCTTTCCTTGTGTACAAACTCCTGCACGTGTCCGCGGCGGTGCTTTCCCTGAGCCTGGGCGGCCTCTGATTGGTCCGCCGGCTGGGCCAATGACAGGTGGAGGGAGAGGGAGCAGCTGGAACAGAAAGGTCCGCCAGACGTGCTGGTCTCAGCTCCGATGGGAGATTTGCTTGTTGAAAAGAATGAAACACAGGAGGGGCTGTGCACCATTTACAGCCCAGCTGACAACAATGGTCAACGGGTGGGCGGCGTTTGCACAACATTTTAAACTGGGGGTGTTTAGAACAGCAGGAGGGTTAAATTTTTTTTAAATGTTGTTCTTAGGGAGGGGTGAGTACGTGAGCGAGATAAATAATAATTCATTACATTCCATAACCTTCATTGGAGGGTGGGGCACCTGTGGTGGGTAATCTAATGGAAATGCTAAATTAACTCAGTGTAGTGATTCTTTTTGTGATAAATGGCTTTTTACTAAAATGCAACGTCATCAATCTTCTTCTTGGTAATGGATCTGTTTATTGTTGTTTAGGCTCACATGTCATCACTACATTGCATCACAGAGCCACAAAGCCAGCTAATCTTTTCACATGTTGACTTTTACGGCTCTGTTGCTACCTCTCTTAGCGGAAAAACAGTGCGGCAGTGATAGTCTGACTTCAACTCCCTCATGCCACCTCGATTCATGAAGAAATCACCAGTCCTGACACAAAAAGTGTTTTTGTTCTCCATTTAGGGCAGGGGGGGGGGGGGTGTCAAACTCAGTTGCACAAAACAGTTTCGGTCCAAGCCAAGGACAAAATTTCTGCCAAAACTTTTTGTACTTTTTGTCAAAATTATGTTTTATGTAGTATTTAGAAAATACCTAAAAATTACATTTAGGAAGACACATCATAAGCATTCATGTCTTACGCCTTGAAAACCTTAACCTTCACTAAAAATCCAATTATTTGACTTTAAAATAAGAGTGTAGTGTTTTTGGCTCGAAGTTCAGCCAGCTGACATGAGAAGACTGCGTTTAAATATAGCAACAAAAAGAGAAACTATAAAACTATTTAATTAAAGCATTACAGTCAGGGCCGGATAAAATTTTAACGAGGGCCAGATTTGGCCCTCAGGCCTTAAGTTTGACAAGTGATTTATGGGAAAGTCAAGTCATAGGCCAGCTTACTAAAGAAGGAATGTGCCAGGACAGCTGATTCCCAGCTACTATTAAATACCACAGAACTTGTCTTTATTTATACGAAGAACATGTAGTACTTGACAGTTGTACATTAGGTGCAATCAACAAGTGCCAAGTAGTGAAATAAAACAAAAAGCTGCTCCTTCAGTCTAGCAAACCTGTTTGCATGGGTTTAACATAACCCTGCAGGTAGATCTAACAATAGTTAACACAACAAACAAGGTTTAATGAGTCAACAAATTGCAACAAACTACAATATTTTTCAACAGATTGTCAAGCCATTTATTTCTACTATGACATGTGCTGGCTAAATAAGGATCTCAAAAGGTTCGAAATGATACAAAGTGGGTTGAAATTTCAAAATGTATCACCTGGCCTGACAACAAAGTAGTTTTGTTTCTGAGAAAGCCAGTTTGAAAGCCTAATTTTTACGGGTCTATTACAGAGTTGCTCAGTCCTGGTCCTTAAGAGCCAGAAGCCTGTTAATCACTCACTCATTCCAGTCAGGTGTGAAGAAGCAGAGAAACACCGAAAACATGCATGATAGTGGCTCCCGAGGATCACTGGTATACTCAAGACAAATTTAAATTAAAATGTTTAATGACTAAGCTTCACAATGAAGCCAAACATTATAAAGGATTTCCAGGAGGATATGGCAGCAAAAGAAAAGGTGTTTATGTGAATGTAAAATTTAAAAATAAATAAATAAAAAGAATTCTTCTTTGGTTGTGGATTTGGTTCTACCTGATGTGACCCTGACCTCGGATAAATCAATCAAAATGAAGGATGTTTTCTTTTAATTAACAGTAGTATAAAGTTCAGAATGCATATTATGAAAGCCTGTGTTCCAAAAACAGTCATGCCATGTTTTTTAAAATAAACTAGCTACCGCATAGCAGTAACATAATGACCTCCACATGCACCAGAACTCAGAAGTCTTTATTCCTGATAAATGTCAGGTGCATCCCAAAATTGTAGTTTTTTTTTTTTTTTTTTTTTTGGGGGGGGGGGGGGGGGCAATTGGTTGACCTGATGGATAGCCCCTCTCATCAGAGCTAAGCAACCAAAGAAAAATCTGAAGCTATTATATTTAATAGTTTTTGAGCTATAACCATTTTTGTATGTCCAGATACCCCTTTTTCAGATAAACTGTTTTATTTGGGATATTTAAATGTCTTCCAGTTCCAGTGTTAAATGTTCTTTTAAATTAAAATCTATTAATCTTTGAGAGGATGTACTTGCATTATTATGTCATTATCATTATATTAGTTTAAAACGGTCTCCAAACATTATTTTAAATCATCCAAATAATTCCTCAGACAATTTATCATCCATAAATAATTGTTATTGTGAAAGGCCTATGTGTTGTGATTGACTCTTAGCTACTACTACCACATCCTTTTTAACTATATGTTTGAATAACTGGGTCTTGTGATGCAAAACAGGGCTTTATTAACAGTTTAAATATGGCAAACATCACTTTAGCTGCTCAACATTAAATAATGTTTCTCATGTAAAACTGCATGGTGAGATACTTTTTCAAAGGCCCAACTTTGTGAGTGAACAGCATGTGGTAACTTGAGAACTTACCAACATATTCAACAACCACTGTGTATAATCACAGCTGCATTAAAAAAGATGTCCTGGTTGAGCCTGTCAACAACCCTCAGCATTACACAATCTGTGCACAACTTTTAAAAATCACATTACAAGCTTGAACCCATAAGCACAAGAAACTCAGTCACTGGCAGTATATTTATTACTCCTGAGAGCTCACTCTGTCTTTTCTTAGAGCTTTATCAGATTATGGTTCCGACTTTGTTGCCAGTAAAAAGGCACAGAAACATCTTGCACAGTCAAAACATGAGGAACGCTGTTCTGTCGCACTTGACCGTGGGTGAAGTTTCTGTTGAGTCACCGATCCCTCAAACATGTGACCAAACAGATCAAAACACCACCTCTGTCGCCACCTGCATCCTCGCCTCCTCTGAGTGAAGCTGAGTTGTCTTTGTTTTAAAGCTGACATAAGATAAGATAAGATAAGATAAGATAAGATAAGATAAGATAAGATAAGATAAGATAAGATAAGATAAGATAAGATAAGATAAGACTTTATCGACCCCGCAGTGGGGAAATTTGCACATTACAGCAGCTCAAAACAGGACAGGGTGAGATAGAATAAAGAAAGATAAGTAAAAGAAAAACAAAAAACACTATACTCGTGATATATAACAATGTACATAAACCTAGTACAGTAAATAAATGAATGTATATGAAGGTGAGTATATGAACATGTCCTCTGATGACGACAGGTGACGTTTTAACTGTAGAAACTGTGCCTGCTTTGCACATTCAGTAGTTCGCTGAAACCTCCTGCAGGGTTGCATCTCTCAAAGCCTCTGGAGTGGGTTAATAATAACATGAAGGGCCACACTGCTTTTAAAAACTCCCCCCATAAAGTCGGAGCTACTAAACTAAAAGAGGACTGTGTGGATGTTAAAGATGCAGTAACATTAATTTAACATGACAATAAATGGTCACAGTTTGTCTGTTTTTGAAGCTATGAAAACTGGGGACGTACCAATTAATTGACCAAAAATATATATATATATTTTTGACATTTTGACAGATTTTGTGGGTACAAAAAAAGGAAGTCTTTTTGTACCCAGCTTGGCAGACACCACAACACATTTGTAGTTGATCAATGTGAAGCATTGAATGTCCAATCTTTTTACAGTTAGTAAGGCGTATGTTCGAAGTGTGTATTTTGCTATGCATTGTGGTCTAGATATATTCATGCCCACTTCCAGTTCTATGAAATACATTTAGTCTGAACAGAGCTCAGATGTTCCAGCTGTGCTCTGCAGTCATTCTGACATCTCGCAACATGTCTTGTTACAACAGGAAATACCAATAAAACAAATTTATCTATAAAAATCAACAAAAAAGGAGTTTCAAGTGGCCATTGTCATACAAATTGTGACTAATAATTTATTTATTAATTTATTTTATTTTGCTATGTGACTTGGATAATATATACATCAGCAGGAGGTCTCCCATTTATTTCAGTTTGATCAACTGTCACAATCTCTTGAATGTGTTAAGAGTTAATCGGTTCAAATGGGGATTAAAATGAATTACACAAGCATTATATTCTGGTCTGTATCTCTACTCAATTTCAACAAACACTCAAATGTAGTGAGAAATGAGTGAGCTTTGTTGATCATCCACATTTGCATCAGATTGTTTAAGTACAAAGAGAAATAAAATAGATTAAATGAATAGCTCCCAAGGACCCAACTGGAACAGAAAAGTTTTCAGCCTGACAAAATCTAATCTTGTCCTGGTCACTGAACGTACTTCATCTGAGTGGTAATTAAAACATTGGGTGTTTTCTTGATACAAGATTGCACCACAGCTAAAACGCCTATTTTCAACATCAATAAAACATTTTCAGAGTTGAACTACAAATCATACTCTAAAGAGTGTGAATCAGACAAAACCAAAATCAGCACGTCAGAGCTTTACAAAAAATAAAATAAAACAAAACAAAAAAGAGTGGAATCAGCTATGAAAACTGAAGAAAAGCAATAAAAACCAATTCAGCTGACTTAAATTAAACTGAATAGTAACCCAAATTACCATAGTGCATTAGCAGCCACAAGTTATGGGACAATTTTTTATAGAGTTGAAAGATTTGTTTTTATTCTTGCTGTGCCCAGCAAAGGAACAAAAAGTGATGCACCCTGATTTAATAAATGCCTAAATGCTCCACATTTTTTACAACCCATTTTAAACTCTCCAGG